GTCATGGCTTGTGCTGCTTGCATGGCATGGGGTCTGAATGTGGTGACGGTGCTGGGCGCCTTCATGGCATGCAACTCCTGTGGGTCATGACCAGTGCTGCTTGCAACTCCCTGCTCTTTTGAAGTTAGACAGCCCTGAGATAGACTATTCTCTGTGACCATAGGGGACAGGACTAGAAGCATTGGCCTCCAGAAGCAGCAGAGGAAATTTCAGTTTGAGATTAGGATGAAAATTCGCTTTGAGATTGGATGAAATTCTGGTCAAGCATTGGGATAGGCTACCTAGAGAAGTTACAGAATCTCCATCTGCGAACATGTTCAAAAGTAGGTTAGATAGATGCATGGCTGGCGTGGCTTAGTCAGAGAGGATCCTGTCTTGAGCAGGGGGCTGGACTAGATGACCTCACAAGGTCTCTTCCAGCCCTACTTTCTTATGATCCCACAATCCTACGCCTGTTTAAAGACCAAACATCCTTCCGATATGCCATGTTTATTTAAATAAGTCTTGACTGATCTTAACTAGGAGGGCCATATGAAAAAGGAATTTCAAAGATAAAGACAAGAGAGAATGGATGAGCGCTTTCTTGTACAGTACATAAATCTGTTAAGCAGGGGTATGTTCAATAAGCTATTGAACTCCATTTACATCTTTCAAGTTGCAAATGATAAGCAGATTCATTATAGTTAAATGGAAATTATATGACAAAGAATACATTACACTTAATTTGTATGCAGCAAAATGAAGCATCTGAGATTTGTAACAGTTATCATATCAGTCTCGTTCTGTATCACTAGAAGGAGATTTATCAGGAAATACTTCACATTATAGAATTTGTTCTCTTTTTAAGAAGAAAAGAATATTCCAGTATTTTTGTGCATTCCAAGGTATGAAGCTACTTTGAGAATTAATCATGAAAATAAAATCTAATGTGATTTGTTTGTTTATTTTCTCTTTTGCAAAATGTGTCTCTTTGGGCATATATTCTTTTCATGCCTTGCTCAAAGGTCACTGCTGTAATAAGATGCAATTGAGTAAGTTTGGAACGTGGTCCAGTAATTTTGCCATTTGTGTTGATTTCCCAATTCAGCGTCTCCTATTTTAACAAAGCACAACCAATAATTAAGGCATCCAATGGCAACTTGGAGAATAATACTGAAGCCTTTTTTTTTGCCCAACTTTGTACCTCTGCTGTCATGGGACCATAGAAGGCTCCATCCCCTTCAATTTGATGATTAATCTTTGTGTGTTTGTGTGCATGCCTAAAGTACACCTTGTTGTTAATATGCATAATTACTGATCTGATTATGACATTAACAATTATCCATACAAACTGTTTTCTTTGTCTGAAGATTTTTTGTTTAGCTGTTTGATTTTGCTGTCCAAGCTATGATATAGAGTTGGAGGCATGATTTTAAGTTAAGATCAGTGTCCTTTTCAGACTATACCTAAAACTTTCTGTGGTACTGTACAATATTCATGTAGGATTTGAAGTAATTAATTATGGAATAACATGGGGAGCAATTGTGTGGCAGCATTCTTAACAAAATGCATATAAATGTATAATTCAGTATTCATAAAAAAATGGAATAGGATGTTTTCACATAATAGTGCCTTTTGCTTCCTTTATGTTGCTATAATATGGGATTTAAGTACCAGTCTCCTTTGTATATATGTGCATATATAAAACAACAAAGAGTTATAGGTGGAGTAAGAACAGAATATTGCCCCTTTTATTGGGAAGGGCAGTCTTTTTTTTTTTTACCACTTACCCTTTCAACTGTCCCAACCACTATCTTGGTGAAGCTTTCTTTTAAAATATCATTGATTATCCTGTCTGTAGCTGTTGTCTAGTGTGGGATTCACAGGAAACCAAAAAAAAAAGTAAACAAGAAAAAGTTTAATACACATGAATGTTTATATATTAGGGTAAGAAAATTCCTTTCTTACAGGTGGGGAGTAGTACGTGGCCACTGCTGACTGACCAAACTGAGTAGCTATTCAGGGAGTCTGTAAGGGCTAAGCAGGAGTCCATGAATCACCTCGTCTCTGCTTTGAACCTTTAGACTGAGGGCATTCTTGGTGCTTTCCCCTTCACCTAGCTTTTTAATCCACAAGTGGGACAGTCCACTGGTCCCTGGTCCACAGGGCCTGTGGAGCGTTCACAGGGGAGTAATGGGTTTCATGAGAAATTTTAGGGTTACTACTTTTTAACGTTGCACTTGTTTACTTGATTAAATTTATTTTCTTGTTTATCCTTTTAATATTTCTGTTGTCCTGTTTAATAAAAGTTCTGTCTACTGTCAGAATTTTGGCTATGGCATTTAAAACAAAAACTGGGAGGGAAGAGCTGTTCACAGACCGCTGGAAGTCTTTCCTCCTTCCCTGTCTGTCTGCCTTCCCCCTCCCTTGCACCAGGAACTGGCATTGGTTTTGGGGAGGGGTGTCTTTAACAAACGCTGCATAGTCTTTAACCATCATTGCATTGTGTTGTGTTTGTGTCCCACTTTAGTTGGGCAATGATTGATGCCATTTAAGCTTAATGCCCTCTTAACATCTCAGCTGTCCCCCTACCAAAAAAACACAGTAGTGATACTACTACACAGGGATAGAAACCTAGTATGCCTGGTTTCCTAACCAGAGCTTGAGATGAGCTATCTCATCACCTGCTTCTCCCACTAAAGCCCCAAAAGCATAGCTTAGCACCCAGCTGGACATTTAAATTCCTCAACCTAAGTTCTCATCATCTCCCTCTCCTCCCCCACTACATCCATGGAAGCATGGTTCAGCACTTGGCTGAACATTTACCACCACAGCCCCCACCAACATGTCCAACCCCTGCCACTGCTCCCTGTCCACAATGGAGGTGAGCACACAAGGGCATGAGTAGGGTTGGCAGTGTTTAATCAGGTCCTACGTCATTCTACAATTCATCACCTTCAGCCCAGAGACAGCAAATGTAGTCAGCCAGCATGTCTCAAGCAAGTGTCAGGTGACTGGCCTTCATTCAAGAATTTGCTGGGGGGCTCATCTCCAAGAGCAGGGTCTCAGGCCGAAATTCTCCCTTGGACTCACAGGTGTTGTGTGGCATGCATGCAGAGACCATGGACCTAGGTACATTGTTTTCTCTGGCATCCATGCATGTCCTCTGGTATCTCCAGCAAGCCTTGCTCAGCAGCTGCAGGATGCAGCATGCTTCCCACCATCTCAAGGCTTGCTGGTCATCCAGGGATCCAGTGAACAGCCTCATCAGCTGGTGATGCAGTGGGTAGGCAATGTCCCCGATCAGTAGTGGGAGTACAGTCTTTCCCTCAACCTGTATGTGAAGGAGTCCAAGGGCAAAGTGTCTGTTCCAACAGTTCTGGGTGGAAAGGAGCTTCTAAATATGCGGGTGTCTTGCACCTTTCTCAGTGGCCACTGTCCACAACTGCCAAGAAGTAACCCTTCTGCTTGTTGAATTCCTGAACATGGTGCTCAAGGAGAAGGAGGAAGATGTGTGTGCTGTCCACATCCCCAATGCAGTTGGGCAACCTTTGGTTGCCAACCCATCCATAGCCTCCTGTGCACTGGCAAGGAGTTTGATGTGCAAGCCCATGATCTGTTGGTTTTCCTCTTGAACTGTGTCTCCAGCCATTGACTAGCCCGTGTTGAAATGGTACCACAGATCGGAGACTGAAATGGCAATGCAATTCTCTATGGATAAGAGGGTGTATGGTTGTTGTCTTGCATGTGTAGGGCAAGCTCGGTACAGGTTTCCAGTAGGATGTTCCGGGACATGCAGAAGTTCACGTGCCACTGATTGTCATCCCAGGTGGCCATGATGATCTGTTCCCACCAGTTGCTGCTCATCTGCCTGGCCTGGAAATGCTTCTCTGTGGTTTGGAGCCACTCTCATTGACTAGACACAACATGCTGATCTGTGAAGATCTTCAGGATTACAGCTGTTGCAGACTAGGATCTGGATGTGGCCATGGACCTTCTTGTGAGGCAGTGGCCTTGACCCTAAGGCTTTGGTCTGCTACCTCTCCAGTAGACCACAGGGGCAGAAAGAGATGGCCAGAACCCTCCATCTGGGGGGCCTAGGCACACACCTACTCCCTGCCACTGGAGTGGTCAGCCAAGGTCAGCTGAGTCTACTCCATGGTGGGACAAGGTGCAGCACAACCAATCCCATGACAAAAGCGATGCCTGTTTATAGCCATAGATAGCTAATTCTTCCCCAAATCCTTGTTCTCTGAAGTGGTAGTGAATCTAAAATCATGGTTATATGCTGTACATAAAAGTCATTCCTGGTATTTGTATTTCCTTTGTTACCTTCCACATTCATCAGATATCCACCTTTTTATTTTGTTTTGGGTGAACATATCCAGTCCATCTCACAAGACCATTAAGTCTTTTAAATACTCTTTTCTTTTTTGAGTGCTTCTTTTCTTAGGTGGTGAGCACATTATTGTGTTTATACACCGATATAACATTATGTAACATTTTACATAACATTCAGCGTGCTGTTTCCTTTATATCTAAAGTATATTCATATTTTAAACACTACTGTATGTAGTGTAGACTGCTTTGAGCCCTCACCATGGCTCCCCTTGATGATTTGTTTTTTTCGTGAGAAAATGCAGCTTTATCTGAACTATCATTGCTAGTAATTTTTCATGAATTACTAACCTCATGTTACACAATTGGTTTCAAATTAACCTTTCACATTGTTCAAGTCAGCTGTTTTCATGAGTTTTTACTTAGGAGGGAGGGCTAATAGGGACATGGGTGCAATGATGGGATTGACTCTTCCTTGCTTATTTTATTTGGGAACTTTTTTGTGGAGTTCTATAGTTTGGTTGACATGGAAAGACTTTTATGAGGATTGGGTGGGGTTTTTTGTTTGTTTTTACCCCTTACCCTTTTACCTACCCCAGATGCCATATTTTGGTGAAGCTAATTTCCATTTTTCTTGAACATTTAGATTCATGTTCTTGTTCCTCAATATTCTCAGTATGTCACACTTTGACCACCTGTAGTAGCATGCCCGCATTGCATTGGATTATGCCGTGAAAACCATCTTACTTACTTGCTCCTACTTTACACATGCAGAGTACTGTAAAAATGTGACTATGCCACTTTTTGGCACATACTTAGTGACACTTTCAGGTTGTCTGTCCTGGTTTTACTTGTCAGCACCTGCTACGTCATATTTTTTTCAACATTCAATTTATACAGAACAGGAGCAAGTATGCAGCAGCATTCCTTAGCTCTGTTTGAAATGGTATAGACATGCCCTAAGAAAGACATTGCATGAACATGTGGCTCTTGTTAGGTTCTGACTGCTGAGCACTCTGCACCAAACTATCTAAACAACTTAGTCTTATGGCAATATAGTCATCTTTACAAGAAATATTCATATTTTCTTAATAAAAGCTATGTCTCCTAAGGATGTTCCTTTTGGAGAGTGGACCCAAAAATGGTTACCTTTACGATGCTCAAATTGCCATTGAGATGAATTGTATTTTATTCCCTCTGTGGTGAGATCCAGCAAAGATTCCAATTATTGTGGTGGTATTTTTTGTGATGCAGGTGCTTATCCCCTAGAAGTTGAAGCAAACCTTTTCCCTGAAAATAACTAAACAAGCATCTTTTGGTACCTGGCTATCTTTACTAAACAAATTTGAACCAGTTATGCAAAGTTGAAATGCTTCTATGATACCTCAACAAGTGTGTGGATGTACCAGCTGTCATTTTCATATAAAAGATAATGCTCCTTCTCTACAATGGCTAGTATCAGTTTGAGATTTTAGTTTTTGTTCTTGTAAGACTTGTCATTTCTTTTAATGAAAAGGCTATTAAGTGCTATTTATATTGCATAAATTTGAACTTTAAGTGAGAAATTTTTCAAACTATGAAATTGTTTCTGCAGTGCCACGAGGCAGACAAGCTGGTGATAACTTTGTTGAATCATCCATTCTTGCTGCCATCCACCGAGTTGACAGTGCAATTAACTCCACAAGAAGAAATTTGTTTTCACAGTAAGAATGTATTTTATCTTTGCTCACAGAAATCTTTCACATTTTTATTCTGCTTAGCTACTGTTCATTTTTTTTAAATTACAAAAAAAGGTTACTGTAATATAATTGTCAGAATGTGCTTTTTCTTGTAGCTAGGCTGTTGTTTCTTAATAGCAGTCATTATCAGTTCAGTTTTCTGAAAGATTATATTGTTTGACAAAGAATAAAATCAGATGATATGCTTTTTACTGTTTCACTTTCTTGGCCTCTTGGCTTCTAGGACCATTTATTTGTCATGCAGCTATTTTCTGTGGCCTGCAACAGTCTTCTAAACAATAGACTAATCTGGCCTTGGACTCTTTATCAATAGATTAGGCAACCTTTTCCTTACTAAAGAAATAAGGCATGATAGAGATCTCCATTTTTATTTTATCCTTTAACCATAGCCCTAATCCCTAGAGAACTGAGGCAAAGCATTTAATTTAGTGACCCCTATGCTTTCTTCATTGAATGATGCAAAAGGGAACAGAGTTGTAGACAAGTAGCTTAGGCCGTTTATAGACAACACTTTAAGGAGGGCTTAAAGCAGGTTAAATGCCTTTTGCACCACTTTAATGGCATTGCTGTTTGCATATTCAGTGGTGTATTCTGAGTTAATTCCAGCCGCTGTAGCACATTCGGTAGCATAATGCTCCTTAAATGACTTTGGGATGCAGCAAATGACTTTGGGGTGCTGCAAAGTGAAACACCTCCAAGGAGTTTTAGTTTCCTACCCTACAGTCCTGGAGAGAGGCACCAGGCTCCGTGCAGCCCAGAGGCTCTGCAGGCAGCCCAGCAGTAGCCCAAGAAGGCAGGCTCCACAGAAGGAGGGAAAAAAAAAAGACAAGTGGCCAGCCTGATCTTTTTTTACCCCCCAAAGCCTGCCTGCCTGCCTGCCTGAGCTGTGTGGGGGCCTGGTGCTTCTCTCCACAGCTGTGGCACCCCACCAGGACTGCACAAGCGGGGGGTGGGGAGAGGGAGGGGAAGAGGAGGTGCCACTGGCGTGGAGGGAAGCACCAGTCCCTTTCCCCCACAGCTCAGGGACTGCTCTGCCCACCAGCAGCTCACTCTCCCTTCCCCACCGCTGGAGAGGCAGGTAAGGATCAGGCTCTGACACTGGTGTACAAAACACAGGGTTCTACTTCACTCTAAATTGAAGTGGTGTTTTTAAAAAAAACACCACTTCAGTTTAGGGAGAATTAAACCTCCATGTTATCTACAAACGGCCTTAGTTGTTAAAAGGTGACACAGATGTAGAAAAACACCAAAGGGACTGACAGTGCTAAGCATGAGTTAAAGGAGTACCTTTGTTCTCTTGATGTCATCAGAGTCTCATAGTTCTTTTCATGAATTGTTGAAACTCACAGTATTACATTCTTTTAACATTTAATTGCAAAAGATAAAAGTAGTTATGTGGTGTTCCAGCATATCTGGGTGTTACAGCATATCCCTCTTGTTCACAGTAGCCAGGAAGTTCTAGTAATTCAGAAGGCAGGGCAGGGTAGCACCTTGCAGACCAACTGGTTCAGACGCATAAGCTTTTGTGGGCGACAGTCTACTTTGTCATATGCCATCCGACTTTGTAGGGTGTCACCTATGAAAGCTTGCACCTCTCTGAACCAGTTTGCCTCTAAGGTGCTACCCTGCCCTGTCTTCTGTTTGACTTCAGATGGCACAGTTAACTACCTCTCTTTGATTTTATGGTAAACTTCAGGCAGTTATGGGAAATTAACTGGTTCCTCCTTTTTTGAGGGGTAACAAATAACTTTACACAAATTTCTTTCTACATGCTTTCCCCCTTATCAAAAAGCAATTAAACAGGTGGTAGGAGGTCTGATGCTTTCTCCTTGAATATACAATGTATGAACAATTTTGTATGAGTTGGATGATGGGGAGAGAATGGAGGTAGGTCATATTTGCACTCGTATCAGTGTAGTAGATCAAAGCACAACAGCTTTTTGTTGTGTTAATTTAATTGGCTTTACTTTTATAACCTTTTAATTGGCTTTACTTTTACATTGAATTGGCTTTACTTTTATAACCTCTCAAAAAACACTGTTGTGAAGATGGAATGTTGTGCTTATTACTGTCAAAGGCTTCTACTATCATAAGCCTGAAAGTATTTCTATACTGCAGTCAAACATATGATGGCAGCTCATATAGACTTCATCTAACCTTGAAATACCTTACTTGGGTACTGCTACTAATGTAGCCACAGCAACACAAGCTCAGCACAGGCTGCTGCATCAGTATTTCTGCTGGACTGAGCCACATGTTGGTGTGGCTTCACCCATAGCATATCCTCAGTGAGCCATTTAAAACTAGCTCAGAGTACGTCCACATGAGCTACAGAAACACCTTTGTCTATAGTATAGATCATGCATGCTATCCTGCGTTCCTGTACCTTAAGACCTCTAGCAGGCTATCTTTATTGCTTTTACTTTCAGTTGTTGAATGTTTGCAAAGATATTCTGAGAATATTTCTGCCCAGTAATTAGTTTTTTATGTATGGGAAGGACGGCCATAAGCAAGAACTGAAGAAAATAACACATGGTAAAGGAGAAAAAAGAAATAAAGAGAAAAGGGATGATTTTATTTAACTATCACTCTTTTTCCAGAGCTATTAGTGACTCATTAGCTGCAGCTTGACTACCTCTGATGCATAAACTTCAACACATGCTCCTCTTTTTTTGCAGGCATCCCCAAACCCCCACTGACCTGTTGGCTCAATTCCGCTATCCACGGGATCCTTTCACTATAGAGACTGCAAGAGCAGGGGAGATATTTGAGCAAACTCTTCAGTTGATTCAGGAACATGTTAAACAGGGTCTCAGTGTTGATTTTGATGGAATAGGTGGGTACACGTAAATGCTAGTATCTATTTTGTCTGCAGTTTATTGTGGTACCCCACTAGTGAAACTTGCAATGTCATCTTATATTATTATAGTGTTTTTCACCTAGTGCCTCAGTTTTATATAAAGTATACTGCAGATAAGGTAGACTATTATGTGACTGCTGCTGTCATTGAAGGTAGTAGCCATTCTGTGCCGGTCTCACTGTACACATAAATGAAACATCATTTATGCAGTTGAAACTACTGGATAAACTTGGACAGAACAAAGTACCAGAGCTGGAAATTAACCATCACATGTGGCTTAACAGCTTTACATTTTTTGAAAAATGCTTCAGCTACCACGAGTGTTCAGAGTCTCGTTTTCTTGTTCTCAAACATAGCCTTTCCTGTAGCACAATTTCCTTTTTATATTTTAGAACCTGAGTCAGAACTGACTGAACATTGTGTAATGCCATCTTATAAGTTTCTAATTAAAGCTCAGCGATGCAAGGGAGAACTGGGCTAGTGGGATTACCATTATTTAGATGAGAAATTACAGCTTGTATAAATTACAGCTTGAAACAGACCTATGAACTATTATATTAATATATTTACAGTATTTTACTCTGTACTGTCCTGTACATAGTACAGGAGAATCAAAAATTGAACTCTCCAATCCTCTTTTAAATATTGCCATAATTTTCTAGTGCAAACTCCTATTCATTTTTCAATAGACTTCCATCTCTTTTTTTTTTGTTCTGTTTTACTCTCAATTTTACTATCTTTACTATTCAGACATATTTTCTTTACTAATGTTCAAATCCATCTTCTGTGAGTAAAGAAATATGTCTGTGATAGTTACTATGTCTCAAAAAATGTAGAGCAATTTAGATTGCTACAAAGGTGCGTACAATTTTAATATTCTGTTGTTGTTGCATCAGAAATCTGCAATATAAATTCTACCACATTAGTAGAGACTAATAAAAAACTGTGCATATTTAGAAAACTGACATCTGAATTTTCCAGGCACTATATTTTTTTCTTAACTTGAAGACTCATTTATGTCCAAAATTTCCAACCCACTTGTGCTGGTTAAAAACTGAATATTATAATGTAACTGATTTGTTTCTCAAGAAGATTCTCCTTTGCTTTGATTAGTTGCATGATAGCAAATAAAAAAATTACCACCTTTATTTCTGACATGATTAGTATCTGAAAGAGAAAATGGCCTGTGGTCAAAAGCTCTTGCCAAACTGAAGTAGGCAAAATTTAAATGCTAGCATAAGTTAGGGAGGTTCCTTTTAATAAATATTAGATGTGTTTATCAGTATTCTATTTCAGGCATGTTATATGCATCTTGAAAGTCAATGCAATACATTATGTTGGCACAAACAACAGTATAAACCTCCAAGTTCTGGTGCCTGATTCTGTTATCACAACTTGAGCAGGGTGCCGAGCCAACCCATCCCTATATTTTGTCATTACTGCGAGAATTTTTCCCTTCAAAAAGTATAAGGAAAAATAGTCTCTGTTGTTTTGTACTTCATTTAATTTTAATGTGCCAGCAAATGTAATGAAAGGGATAAAACCCACAATGGAATGAGACTTTCAGAATTACCTAGAAGCTAAATGGATTCCACCTCCTTAAAGGTATATGCTATGTTTGATTTTTAATTTTATTCACTAATGGTTCTGTAGAATATAACAATAGGGGGTTGCACGTGCATAAATACATTTTCCCATACCAAGTGTTTATGATTGTGCCTTTTTCCTGTAACTGTGTGAAAGTTAGTGTACAAGTAATATGCAGGCAGGAATGACATGCTATGTAGTCCCACTTTAGCTGCTGTTTGAGTCCTTTGGCTATAATATTTGTTGTGAACTCCTCCCTCTGGAATTCTGAGTTAAAGACCAGGGCAAAAACAGTGATGTGCAACATTCATTTTCTCTAACATTTATGGCTAAGGTAGTATTTTGTCACATTGCCAGTAGTGCAAGGTCAGCATCATCTTTTTTGGAGCGTATACAGGTCTTTGGATTCTTGTCCATCTGAAGCTTGGGGTGTAATTCTCCTACTTATTGATCCACTTTTAGGTTGTTACATCTCAAATATGCAGCTCATGTACAGGTCCACTGGGCCACCTGCATTTCTGCCTTTTTAGAATCTGTTATCAATTATATGAAGATTGATAGCCATATTAAAGTAATGTACATTTATTAGCAGATGGAACTTAATTTTGAAGAGAATTATTTAAGAAATAAACCACCTGTAGACACACAGGATGCATCCCCATGAGTATGCACATGCAGGGGTGTGCATTTCCCACAGGACAAATAGCAGTGGCACATATTTGTGTTTGACCCTGGGCACACTCCTGCACGTGTGCTCTTCGCAGCCTTTCCTGGGGCCCTGGGGGCATCCAGGTAAGGAGGGCATCTCCTGATATAAAAAATAAAAAACACCTGCCACACTGCAAATGAGCAGCATAGTGCATGGGTGGCAGCAAACGGCTTTGAGGCACCACAAATCACATGTGCGTGCTCATGTAGATGTACCTACATAGTCTAATCTAGTCTTATTCTCCCATACAGAATGCTTAGATGGGTTTCTTTCCTTGAGGACACTGAGTAATTCTTGGGATTTATCATGGCATCCGTTTGTTTCTCAGTTTTTCCACCAGGTTTTCCTACTCTCAGGGAAATTGCGTTGTTATGAACTCTCATTCCCCTTGTGTGTCCCTGGCCTCTAATTACCATGGTCCTCAAGGTCATTCGGGACAACTTGTGAAGCATTCCCGTTGACTAAAACCGTTTTATTGGAGTCAGATCGCCTAAGAGAATGCCTCCTATCCTCATGGCTCACTGTTCAGACAGTATGACCCATTTAGCCTTAGTAGTCTTTCACTCATCTGATGACTGCACTTAACCTGTAAAAGGTATCCTGTTACCTGACATTCTAATACTTACATACATTCATCTTATTACACATACATAAATATATTATCTAATAAATAAAACTTGCTTTGAGGTACAGATGAGCCTTTGCCACTTAGCATTTCACTATTTGTCATAAAAATGCATTCAGTAATTTTTTGAATGCCCCAGACAAGACTGGTAAGGAACAGATTAGTAGTGGGGACATAAACTTCCATTTCTAGATCATTATTTCAAATGCAGCTCAGTAATAACTGAATATTTTTAGCAGCTGATATTGGTGTCATTGACTTGGTGCTCTCTGAAGAAACATTCATGGGGCACCTATTCTGTATCACATTGGACAAGAATTGGGGTATTGTCAGCCATTCCCAGGAAATGTTTCAGGGGCAACTGGGAGTGTTGGTTGTAGCTTTATTCATCTAAGGGTATAGGCAGACAAGGTTTTTTGGGTAAATTTGATATCCTGTATTAGACTAACTAAATAGTTGGAAAAGTTGTTCTTTGCAAGCTTTTTGGCATAAAGACCCTTCTTTAGGGGTGAATAAATATTTACTTCCATATGCATAAAGCTTGGAGGCTATCATGAGGACTTCAGAGTTTTAGTAACTGATTGTGGGGCCTAAATTGGAGGACTCTGATTTCCACATGGCATGGTGGTATCTTTTGTGGAATAATGGTTCCTGTCATGTCTTCTCACCACACCCTGAAACATGATTGCAAATTTATAATTTGGTGTCTCTTCTTTAAATGTAGAAGATCCTTCAGTGCAGGGACATGAACAATAAAAGCTTCTATACACACATGATTTGCTGGGATTTACTAGACAATCATTTACCTTGTTACTGTGCAATAAAAAATTATAAATGCCAAAATAAAAGCATGATATATTATCCATTAAGGCCAAATGTAATGTGAATTTCCCTTCTCTCTCAGCACACAGATTACAGGGTTTAAGGAAACGACGAGATTTCCTAATCCTGTGAGCTATGGGTTAATGGAAACCTATGTGGGTAGATATTCTTTTGGATGGTATCCTACTGGAAGGACCCTCCTTTAAGAGTGCTGTCACTAATGACTCACTGGGCACATCTACACAAGATACTAAATGTGCAGTAGACTAATTCTGCTGTGCATTAGTGCATCGTGGCAAAAGCTGTGCTAATGAGCAGTAGAATTACACAATAGTGTCACAAAAAAGCCGTGCGCCAACACTACTGTGCAGTAGCACTGGTTACTGTGCCTTCAGTTTAGTACCTGTTATTTCAGGTACTAAACTGAAAGCACAGTAACCATGGCACATTAATGAATGTGTAGATGTGCCCACTGTGC